CTACTCTATATTTTCTCTATGCTATGCTCCATATTCTATGCTCTTTATATTCTATATTCTATATTCTATTCTATATTCTATTCCATTCCATTTTTTATTCTATTCTCTATTCTACTCTATATTTTCTCTATGCTATGCTCCATATTCTATGCTCTTTATATTCTATATTCTATATTCTATTCTATATTCCATTCCATTCCATTTTTTATTCTATTCTCTATTCTACTCTATATTTTCTCTATGCTATGCTCCATATTCTATGCTCTTTATATTCTATATTCTATATTCTATATTCTATTCCATTCCATTCCATTTTTTATTCTATTCTCTATTCTACTCTATATTTTCTCTATGCTATGCTCCATATTCTATGCTCTTTATATTCTATATTCTATATTCTATTCTATATTCTATTCCATTCCATTTTTTATTCTATTCTCTATTCTACTCTATATTTTCTCTATGCTATGCTCCATATTCTATGCTCTTTATATTCTATTCTATTCTATATTCTATTCTATTCTATTCTATTTATTCTATTCCCTAGGGTTCTCCAACCGTGGCAACTTTAAGCCTGGAGGACTTCAACTCCCAGAAAGCAAAGCTGGCTGGGGAATTCTGGGAGTTGCCAAGGTTGGAGACCCCTTGTTATAAACGCCACGGCTTACATCCAGATTTCCAAATCCAAATAGTGGTCGTAATTCGAGGACTACCCCTCTAGGCTTCCCGCTTCCATTAAGAGCCCAAGTTCAGGAAAACCCCAGCCGGCTGCCCCCTCCTCCCTCCTCCCTCCCCTCACAAAGCCCCCTCCCTCTTTACCTTCTGGGGAATGGATGCCGGGTGATTTTCCACAATCAAACGTTTCAGGTAATGAATCCAAAGTCGCTTCTCTTCCTGATTCTTCACCTGCGACAGCGGAGCAAGGAAGGTGTGGAGGCCGTTTCTACAGCCCGGGAATCCGGAAACATTTACAGGCAATTCCTCGCCTTACAACGATGCGTTTAAGGGCCATCCAAAGCCACAACAGCACCCAAGAAAGGGACCTAGGGCCATTTTTGACACACCTGGCCGTCGCAGCATCTCCCACAGGGGCGTGATCGCAGTTTGGAAGCTCAGCAACTGGCATGTACTTATGACAGTTGCAGGCTCAGGGGGACTTGGGACCTTCTGAGGCGCGAAATCAAGGGGGATCCAGTGTTCTGACCGAAGAGGCAGATTCCTGGTCCCAACGAAACCCCTTTTATTAAAGGAATGCGAATCCCTCTCATTCCCATTCAGCCAGGGTCTGGCACACAGTCTTTCAAAGGAGTATTTAGGATCACAGACCTTATCTGTCCTGGGAAGCTGCCATGCAAATATTTCCTTTTTTCCTCCACCGTTATGCAGCCGAGGGCCGAGTCCCCCCTTATCCGTCCATTCCTAATCAGACACCCTCATCCCTCGAGGTCTCCCCCCGCCCAAAATTACGGGACCTGCAGCAGCCAACGAGGGAACATCCGAATCGTCCCCACTCTCTGATTTCCCAGGAAGAAAGGCATTCTACCCCCTGCCCCCCATTTCACTGAGATCTGAGCTCAGACCCCTCCCCAAATCGCTTTCCAGGGGCCACCGTCTCTTAGAGGCCTCACAGAAGTCCTGGATCGGCTGCTGTGGGCGCCGGGCGTCTCACCTGGATCGTGTGCTGCTGTTTAGGAATGGAGAGGTCCGAGATTTTGAAGCTCAGGGGGTCCTTGGTGTTCTCCTGCAGCGCCAGGTTGCAGCACTGCAAAGCCAGAGGGGAACATCACTGGAAACGAGCCCCCACACCCCCTCTCCAAAGTCCAACTCAGCCTCAGGGACTTTCAACTGGGAGGACTACAACTCCCAGAACTCCCCAGACGGCATGCAACTTTAATCTGGGTGGACTAGAACTCCCAGAACTCCCCAGGCGGCATGCAAATTTAACATGGGTAATCTACAACTCCCCAAATTCCCCAGGAGGCATGCAACTTTAATCTGGGTGGACTATAACTCCCAGAACTCCCCAGGCGGCATGCAAATTTAATCTGGGTGGACTATAACTCCCAGAACTCCCCAGGCGGCATGCAACTTTAATCTGGGTGGACTATAACTCCCAGAACTCCCCAGGCGGCATGCAAATTTAATCTGGGTGGACTAGAACTCCCAGAACTCCCCAGGCGGCATGCAAATTTAACATGGGTAATCTACAATTCCCAGAACTCCCCAGGCGGCATGCAACTTTAATCAGGGTGGACTACAATTCCCAGAACTCCCCAGGCGGCATGCAACTTTAATCTGGGTGCACTACAACTCCCAGAACTCCCCAGGCGGCATGCAAATTTAACATGGGTAATCTACAACTCCCCGAATTCCCCAGGCGGCATGCAACTTTAATCTGGGTGGACTATAACTCCCAGAACTCCCCAGGCGGCATGCAACTTTAATCTGGGTGGACTAGAACTCCCAGAACTCCCCAGGCAGCATGCAACTTTAATCTGGGTGGACTACAACTCCCAGAACTCCCCAGGGTGGCATGCAACTTTAATCTGGGTGCACTACAACTCCCAGAACTCCCCAGGCGGCATGCAAATTTAACATGGGTAATCTACAACTCCC